GGGGGGCGGCCGGAAGCCGGCGCCGGCGCCCCCTCCCCGCCCGGCGGCGCGGAGGACGCCCCTCCCACCCTGGCCACACTTGTTTGCTCTGGATTGTCCGCGGCCTGGCGGGGCAGCCCCGTGTGGTGCCGGGACGGGCTCCTGGGCACCGTTATCCCGCGCTGGGCTGGGACCACGGAGCCTCCGAGAGCGCCGGAGACACAAGGTCACAGTGGCGGTGACCAGGTAGTGCCCGATTGCCAGCTCCAGGCGCCTGGGCAGGATCTGGTATAGCGTTGCTGGAACAGGTGTGAGGGGCAGCCGGACATCCGGGCACCACCCTCCAGGCCCATCCGCCCCCTCACCCACTCCGTGTTTCCCCGGCCTGCACCCCTCTGCAGCCGCCTCCCGGATGTCGGCCCAGGACACCTCCGCAGCCACGGGGGTGCCAGGAAAGCTTCCAGGCCTCTGGCCAGTGGAGGGGAGTGGAGGCCCTGAGCAGCAAGCCCAGTCCCTGTCACTCTGTGGCCTCGTCCCCCCAGCACCTGAAGCTTAGGCAGGCCGGCCAGGCAGCAGCCAGGGTCCCCATGCTGGCCCAAGCGCTGGGGTGGGTGGGGAAGACCCCAGCACTGGCAGGAGTCACCTGCTGGGGGTGGGGGGTTCAGGCTGGGCGGCCGGAGGCCCTTGGTGGTCCAGACTGAAGTCCACAAGGCTCCAGGAAGAGCAGCTTTCCTTCCTGCCTCGGCTTCCTGCAGGAGGCGGGACAGGGTCTGGCTGAGGCCTGCTGACCCCTGCTCTCTCTGCCAGCTGCCTCCCTGCTGCCCGCTCCACCACGCTAGGCGAGGCTGGCAGAGGGGCTGGAGAAGACTGGCCGTTTCCTGGCCTGCTAGTCCCCAACAGCACCTGCCAGGCTCCTGACGGCCCACCAGCCTTCTGCAGTTGTCCTGTCTGGGTAGAGGCCTGGATGGCCTTAAACTCCAGCCCACAAAGGCCCAGTCCAGGACTCTAGGGCCTGGCACAGGAGGGCATGGCACAAGGAAAGGCTCCACAGGTGGGTGCGTCACGGAGGGGCACAGCCTGGGCAGAGTTCTCTGTACTTGGGTGTGTCACCTGCGGGGCGTTTTGGCCCTTGGAGAGTGGCCAGGAAAGTGACTGGCACAGATGCCTCGGTGGAGCCCTATCTGAAGGGCTGGGCACTTTGTCTGCCATTGGTGAGTGATGAGCCCTGGCATCCTGTCCTCAGCCAGCCTCCAGTTCCTGTGCCTCTGCAGCTGCCATTCCCCAAGGCTGACATCGGGGCTCTCCCATGAGACTGGCTCACCACGGGGAGCTGCTTCAGAGCAGAGCAGGGGGCATAAAAGCAGCTCCCCGAGGAACCAGCCTGCCTGGGCGGGCACCGGGAGGCTGGTGCTCTGAGGGCCTGGGGAGCAGAGCATCCCAGCCAGAGGAGGGCAAGGACTCAGATGCAGGGGTCCTTTCCCCAGGGAGACTGGAGCCCTGGAGGGAGGTGCGGAGCGGGTGGCCCAGCTGCCCTGCCTAGGGGTGTCATCTCCCTGGGGGGCCTCCTGGGCCCTGTGTGAACTGCCTTATCCTCATAGCAGGCAGCCCTGCATATGCCCTGGGGAGCCAGGCCAAGCCAGTTCAGGGCAGGTGGGGGCTCGGATGAGGGCCCCACGCACTGGGAGGGTACAGGGGATGGAGCCTGCAGGAAGGAAGGTGGGCAGAGAGCCAGAGAGGATGGGGCCGCAGGAGCAGGTGGCCTCCTGGAAACCCGGGTCAAGCCCAGGAAGGACAGACCCTGGCGAGAGTTCAGGGCCTACTCTGCATCTGTGAGCAGACTCGAGAGGCAGTGGTGAGCATTCGGACTGCGCCCTGGAAGGAGGCCTGGGAGTCTGCAGGGAGGCAGAGCCTGCAGGAGGCCACCATGGCCTGCAGCCCCCTCCCCAGGGTCTAGGCCGTTCATCTCCGTGGGCCTGGACTCAGTCGTGGTGGACACCCTCCTTGGCCTGGAGAACAGCCGCCCCACCCCACCCGTCCAGGGCCACCTGTGCCTCTCCGAGCCCGCCCCCTCCCTGGCCATGCCCTCCACTTAGCTCTCGAATGCGGTTCCGCTACCAAGAGGAAGCCCAGGGAACACCACAGGCCGTGGGCGTTAGGGTGTCCTGTCTGTTCTGTCCTGTGGTGGCAAGGAGCACTCCAAGGGCCTGCTGTGGGGGCAGCCTGGCACCGTGTGGCCACAGCTGCAGGCCCTCTGCCTGCCTCCCTGGGGCAGCTTCTCCAGCCCACCTCCCAGGAACATGTGCCTCCTGCCCGAGAGCCCCAGCTCCCCCGGCCTTGCCTGGCTCAACACTGAGCCCACGCCCACTTTAGTCCACACCAGCCTAAGGGTCATGGGGTGCAGGGCGGCCTGGCTGAGCAGGCCCAGCCCACAGGAGAGGTCACAGAAGCCAGGGTCAGGCCTGGGATGCAGACCTTGCAGGCAGGCAGGAGCAGGCCACGAGGGCAAGGGAAATCTGTTTAGGGGAACGACAGAAGGGTTGGTGTGGGCAGATGCCAGGCCCAGGAACCCAAGGGGCCCAGTGCCACCTGGTAACTGGCAGCTCAGAAGGGAGACCCCAAAGAAGCGAGTGGGTTGGGGCCAGGCCTAGTGGGGAGGGCAGCAGTGTTCTCCCCGCCTGTCCTGGGGCAGGCCAGTGTTGGACAGAGCACAGCCTAGTTATGGGACAGAGAAGACCCACGGAGGGTGGGTCTGTGTCCCTCACCCATCCTCCCCACTTCGGAGTGGCCCACCACAGGGGCTGCTTCAGGCAGGGCCAGTGGCTGCTCACTGGAGGGAGGACTGAGGCTTTGCTGCAGGGGAACAGGGGGTGGGTCTGGGCAGGTGGGCAGGGGCCCTGCATCCCGGCCCAAGGGAGGTGCACCTGCCGCCACCAAGCCTACTTCCAGTGGTCCTGTGCCCCCTCCCTGCTCTCCAGTGCTGCCCATGGCTGGGCGGCTGAGTTGGGGAGGCTGACTCTCTGTTCCAGGGGTCAGGTTTCCAGGGTAACCCTGCAGAGCTTGGCGCCAAGCCTCAGATCCTGTAACCTGAGGCCTTCCCACCTCCCCACAGGCTGTCTGGCTGTTGGCTTTTGGGCTGTCCTGTGGGCTGTGGGGCAGCTCAGCAGCTCGCCTGGCCTGGGGCTTGCCTTTGGCTGCAGACCTTTGGCCCCGGGCTGGGCTGGATAGTGGAAGGCCCGGAGGTGTGGAAGGCGGGAGGCAGAGCCACCGTAAGAGGGTCCTCTGCCAACAGCCTGGCTCCGCCCCCTCCGCAGCCTCTCTGGGGCCTGGGGCTGCCCCTCTTCCTTGGGGACCTAGCAGTTAGACCTCCACCTGGCCGTCCAGAGCCCTCTGAACACCACAGGACTGTGGGCCGGGGCTGAGCAGATCTGGAGAGCTTCCTGGACTTGGAGACTCAGGGCCTGGAAGGCTACTTCGATTTTCATTAGGTGCAGAAGACAAAGGGAGTCCAGGCGGACCAGCCGTGCACAAGCAGGCACACAGGCCGGGCGGGTGTGGTGCTGGCACCGAGCCCTGGCTGCTGTTTATCTCCTTCACGCTCTCTGGTCCCTGCCTGCCAGGCCCTTGGGACCAGGTCTTGGTACCCCGAGGACTGCTCTCTGCTGTCAGGCCCAACAGCTGCCAGCTGGGCCCAGCTGGAGCCCCATGGGCCTCCCTGGGGTGGTAAGCAGACCTGTCTGGACGGCCCAGGCCCATTACAGGTCTGCAGGGATGTGGGCGTCAGGGCTGTCATTGACCCTGTTGACCAACCCCTGGACTATTTCTCAACTGTCTGATCATCTGAGCAAGGGGGTGGGGAGTGCTGTACAGGCCGTGGCTACCCCCAGGCCCGCGTGAGATGGTACAAGATGGGGAGCCTGTGCAGAGCCAGCAACCAGCGAGGACGAAGAGTGGGCACCCCATGCACCCCATGCCCCAGCTTGGTCCTGCTGGGAGGATGGCTGTTCCCAGAACGCCTTGGGGATGGGGCTACTCGTGACCTGAAGGTAGAGGGTGGGAGTGGGAGGCTGGGGCACCCTGAGTGTCCCCACCCTGGAACGATTGTGCTCTGCAATACGCAGGAGGGGCTTCGGGAGCTCACAGGCGGGGGCGCAGTCGAGCTCCCCAGCTCCTATCTGGGCAGGTGGGATCTGCGAAGCCGCATGTCAGATACCTCCTGGAAGGAGGAGCTACCCAGGGAGAGGGCGAGTCCCTGGCAGGCTCTTTTCCCCGTGTGCACGTCAGTGTGACTTCAGGGCCACTCAGGTAACCCAGGAGCTGGCGTGGGGCCAACAGGAGAACAGATGGAGGTGGGGAGTTGCACAGATGGGCGTTCAGCCTGGCTTGCTGGCACCGGGAGGGTGGTAGGTGGGCTCCAGGCCGCCCCCTGGTGATGGCGAGCATGTGGCCCGCAGGCGACGCGGTGGATGTTTACCAGCGGGAGTTCCTGGCGCTGCGGGACCGGCTGCATGCAGCTGAGCAGGAGAGCCTCAAGCGCTCCAAGGAGCTCAACCTGGTACTGGATGAGATCAAGAGGGCCGTGTCGGAGAGGCAGGCGCTGCGGGAGGGAGACGGCAATCGCACCTGGGGCCGCCTCACAGGTGAGCTCTGGCGCTCCACAGGCGTGGGGGGCCCGGCTGTCAGGGTCCGAGTGATCTGACCCGTCCCTTTCCACTCCCCCAGAGGACCCCCGGCTGAAGCCGTGGAACGTCTCGCACAGGCATGTCCTGCCCCTGCCC